CCTTTAAGCTTATAAAGAAGGAAACTCCCCTATAAGTTCTGAAGATGATTTCACAAGAATTCTTCATAAAGAGTAGAAGATTATGGACAACAGTGAGAGTCCCCATCATCAAACTGTCAGGCGCAGAACAAAAGGACCCAGTTTTCAAGGCAGAGCGACATTAAGGTTTCACTAAGTGTTTATTTAAGAATTGCAGAGGATAGCAAAGGCAGGGACCTCTTCATTGGGAGAACACAGCTTAGTGACTATATGGAGGAGGAGGATAATTAATGTCTGAATCACTAACCTGGTCTCATAGTTCAGTCCAAGCCCAGAGGATGAGGTTCGTTCCAGCCGGTAAGCAGCCAACAACACGCAGTGGGCGCCGTCCGGAGGGTCCCAGACGCAGATGACCCAGCGGTCTGAGGACAGGCAGGAACCGGGGTTTGGGAGTCAGAGCCAGGAGATCGAAGATCTGAAGAGGTTCCGACGGGAAATCCAGGACGGTGTCTGGAATGAGTTCCAGGTTCAGTACAGAGGCAGAAATCCAGCAGGAGTCCAAGGACAGATCAGGCAAACAGATCAGAACAGGGACAGGCAGGCTTAGAGGTCCAGAGTCAGAATGGGTCAGGATCAGGGAATCAGAAAATGCTCAGGTACGCTAGAGAAACTCTCACTAAAGGCTTTAATAATCTGGCACTGATGACTGGTTGAAGGCTGCTTAAATAGATGCTGAAGCAGGTGGATAAGATGAAGGGTAATGAGAAACTGGACAGAGCTATACAGGTGAATGAAATGAGTAATCAGGCCAGTTATCAGTCATTATAGTTAAACACTTGTTTTTAAAAGCCTTGTAGATCAAAACAGCCTTCAAATTAAACAGGAATGTAAAAAGTGTATGTATAATTGTGGGGCTGCACAGTGGAACAGTTTGTAGCACTGTCGCCTTGCAGCAAGAATGTTTTAGGTTCAATTCCCTGCCCAGGGTTTTTCTGCATGTTGTTGGCATGTTCTCCCTGTGCATGTATGGGTTCTCTCTGGGTACTCCTGCTTCCTCCTTCTGTCCCAAACCTGTTAAGTTTATTGGTCTCTTTAAATTGTCCTAATGTGTGAGTGTATTCTTTTTCCTGGTGGGGCCCGATTTGTGCAGTATCTGGCTGATACAGGCATTGCTATTTTGTCGTCGGGGGTCACGTTGAGGACTGAGGTGTGAATTGAGTTTAGGTTGGGGTTAGGTATGTTCCCTTAATGGTTAAGGGTAAGGGTCATGGTTAGTCTGTAGAATTATTAGAAGTCAATGGAAAGACCCCACAAAGACAGTGAGAGAAGTTTGTGTGCATGTTCCAGAGTTTACTGCCTTTCAGCCATAGACTGCTGGAGATAGGCACCAGCCCCACCGTAACCCTGACGATCTGGTGGAGCTATCAGCATCTATAATAAGAAAACAATAAAAAAAAAAACATGAGTTATGGCAACATTTAATGCCACCCTTCAGGAGAATTGTAACTAAATTTTGTTAATTTGAACAGGAAATTAATTGAATTGCTGACAGAGAACATCTCAGATGAATATTGTCATGGTTGTGGGCTCTTTTGAGTCCAAATTTATCTTTTTCTGTGAGTTCTCTCTTATATTCTCTGTAAAAAATGTTTTGTTTTAAGCATATTATTGTCATATTTCTGCACTTTTTGGTTCTGTTAAAGTTTTCTTTTTGAGTTTTTCAGTTACACTTTGACTCGTGTCTTTCTATGTTTTTGTTTATTTGTTTCATTTCCATTTTGTTATTCTAGTTGTTTTTGGTTATAGTTCTTATATATTTCTTGTTTACCTTCTGTTGCCCTCTTATGTGAGTCTCCTTCTCCTAGCTCATTTCTTGATTCCTCTGTCCACACCTGCTCCCAATCTGCTGATTAGCCTGGTCCACTGAAAAAAAAATCAAAATCTAGATAAGTTGTTTTTTCTTAAAATAAGTGTATTTGTTCTTGGATTTAGTAGGTAAAAGAGAGATTTTGCCAATGAAACAAGACAATTTACACTTACAACAAGAAAACACAATTGCATTGTTTTATTTCAGGTGCATTTTATCTAATTGTCTTATTTTAAGAGCAAAAATACTCAAACCATTGGCAAACTATCTCATTTACCTACTCAAATTAAGGGTAAATACACTTAATTTAAGACATTTCTACTTATTTTTAGATCCTTTTTCCAGTGTCTTTGTTCAGTCTCCCATTTATACACCTCGTGCTCAGACACTGTTTGCTGTTCCTCTTTGTTTCCTGGCTCCACATGTTTGTTTTCCCTGATATCTCCTAAAGTTTGGTATTCTGTATTTGTTATATTTGCCTCAGTTTCCACCTTTTTGATTTATTAAAACTGCAAGATACCAGTTTCAGTCTCTGCATTTGGGTCCTCTAAAACCTCCACCCAGCCTGACAGTTATTATTTTTCCTATTTTAGTTTTGCCATATTTTGTCGTTTAACCATTAGGAGTTTGTCATATTAGTTTGTAATTTTTTTCTGTGTTGTTTTTGGTTTATTTCTCTTGCTTGTTTCTTAGTCTAATAGTCAATTTTGTATTAATTTAATTTA